TTGCTTTGTTTAGTTTAGGGACTGGTGGAACCATGGATAAATTTCATTAGGAAATATGAAATAGAGCGAAGGGTAGCGTTATAGTGTAGTTTTGCATTTTTGCGACACAAATATTGTCATTTTATCTAAAATGTTTGGTTTGGTGAAATTCAACGGACGAGAAGAATTCTATGAAATAATTTTTGTTGGCTTGTCGTATGGCATAATCTATAGACAATAAGCCTGACTTACTCTGCCAAAGATTTGATAGGTTAAAACAGGAAAGACCAAAAATGGCGGAGCAGATTGATTGGGAAAGATCAAACTGCCGATTTCCCCTGGTTCTTCGGACATGTTTTTAGCAATTTTACTGGAAGGTTGAATTTCTTTTTATAAAACAATATTAAAAAATGAAGATTAAAATTTCAGAATCTACTGCTATCACTGGAGTAGATAGCATCTTGAGAGGGCATTTTAATTCTTCAGAGGTTGGTCTGTTGTTATTTTTGAAGAAACGCGTCCGACCGGCCAAAACAGCGAGGATAGTTGGACATGGATGATCGGTAACGGCCAAACTGCTACATCACCCACCCTGCAGACGTCAAGAAAAAATTGGAGTACATAGCAACATGATAAGGCATTTCAAATCTTCAAAGGTTGGTACGTTGTTTTTTGTTGCTGACAGACCAAAACAGCGAGGATAGGCGAACCTGGGTGATCGGAAACAACCAAACTGCAGTTGACCAATCCGCAGGTTTCAAAAAAAAAAAATCTCGCAATATGAGTTATATGTCTTAGAATCAAAAAGTTAATAAATTGCGATTTGGAATAACTTAATTCGGTGGCGTTGACAAAACGGTCATTATTGTAAGGTTAAGGTCCCGGGTTCGAATCCAGCAGTCCTGCGTTCGAATCCGAAATACTTACAAATGGGCTTTTTCTCAAAAACACCCACAACCTGAGGTTGAACAACACCCCACCTTTGCTGTTGCCAACCCTCGTAAAAAAAGAGAAAAATTACTTGATTACTTAAGAATTAATACTTTCAGGGCATAGTGGCTGACACTTAGATATTTAAACAAACCATCCGGTTTTGGCGTGTTAAGTCGAGAAGTATTGTGAGAAAACTCTGCTATTTTCTAACTAATAGCAGCAAAATGGTTTGAAGACTGCTAATCGATGTGCGAGTTTGTTTTCGTAACCTTTTTTAAAGTTAGGCTTTGGTTTACATACCATTTCATAGTTGCTTTTATTAAATTGTCATTTAATGCTTACTATAGACGTATTAACAAAATAATCAGAATGGAAGAAATTAGTTACATTGAGGAAGGAATTATAAAAAAGGTGGTCAAAGCAGAATAAAATTCAAGTTCATAAAACGTTCATCAAGTCGTTCACGTATGTTCGTAATTATCGTATCTTACTAGATTTATCAGTCTTTGGTTAGAGCTAAAAGAAAAAAGGAGATAATATAAAGAACAGCGCGTTGTTGATTTAAGAGAACGTTGAACGTAAATGAGAAAATTCGAGATAATGGAATGAGCAACTGCTGGTTTAGTGAGATTATGCGAATGCAAACTGTATCGAACATTTTTTTAGAAAGAGAATACTTAAATGGACACAAGAGAATTTTAGGCAAAGAAATGGCCGAAAAGGTCTCACAATGAGCTTCATTGAAGTAAAGGGAAACTTCTTACAGAAATGTCCTCTTTTGAGCTGGGAGATGGTGAAGTTCAGGGGCGAACGATCAAAGGAGACTCGGGCCGGCTTTTTTTTCCGTTTCGACGATTGGCTTCCTCATTTACACGGATCACCCTAACGCCACCAGACGTAATCCCCGGCTTGACTCATTTCTTTTGTTGTTCTCAATGCGGCGCCCCAGGTACCGGGGAAAAAACCCACCCCCGGGAAGAAAGTGATGCTGTGAAAACTGAACAAAGGCAATCCGATTACCTACGTGGAGAATAATCATTTCTATTTACAACGCGAATAACAGTTCGTAAAGCGGGGTTGACCTGAGTGGAACTCGAACTTCTCAGAGAAAGCAGACCGAGAGTAATCCAGCCGACTTTATATCCTGGCTTTCTAATTTTATAGAAAACATGATATTTACTCAGTTATCTAAATGCATGTCTTACAATAATAAAGCTTTCAGGCGAGTAATAAAAAATTAGCATAATGACGATTACAAACACCTTAGCCTTTGCAGACTGCACCTTTCAGGTTATACCTTATATGACAGGGAATAAATATAAACATAAATATCAAAGAAACCACATCACGACCTTCATCTCCTACATGGATGGCTTTGCCATCAGACTAAGGTCAACATGTTTAATACATACAAATAAAATTGTTGACATCTTCATTGACAAGGTCATTAAATATAATGTATGAGACAGTTCATTCACGAGAATAATGTGCTCAATTTAACTCAATCTCGCCTACAACTTTTTTTATTGTTCACCGTCATAGATCATTTTCTATGCATTGTTTATTCTTGAAGCCTATAGGGCAACATGTATTTTGACAATTTTTGATCATCTTGGTCAGCATCGAAGATGACGAAATGTACCCATTCACATTAAGTTTTCTAGGTTCTACGTTTCCAAGGCACTTTCACTATTCAACATCTAAAATCGAAGAAAGTTCCAGGCTTTACTATTACTTCAAAAATTCTCCAACAAAAAAGGCCATCGTAATCATTATATATCTATTTCATCCTGTTCGTACAACCTACTTCCCTATAGCTTGGAAACACTCATGTATCCGAACGTTCCCTAATCTAAAAAAATCAACACATTGTACTATTCATAATGGCCAATAAGTCTACTACCCATTTTGGGTAAAGTTTGAAAACAGAGCTGTTTAAAATAATTCTTCCAATTCCAAATTGACAAATTAACATCAATTTGTTTTTCGCAACTCCAACAGTGCCATCGCAAACATTATCTCCTCCTTCCTTGAGATGGGGCAGTACTGTTCCGAGGCCTTTCTTGACACAAGCCGAGCTTTTAATCGCTTGCTGTATGAGCTCATGGGTATCCTTCCATCCACCGACTATCTCATATGCACAGTTTCCTCACCGACCGTTTTTCTGAAACATTGAAAACCCTATACAAGCCTACATATTTCCCTATACAAGCTGGTTTGCAAGGAGTCCTGTCTTGCCTCACCCTGCTTATAACCCTGTCACACCACTGAAGGTGGCAGAATGCCAATACGGCTGTGAGATACCGTGGCAGCGAGGATTTTTTTAGTGAAAGGACACTCGCTTCAGGCGGGTTGGGCTTATTTTGGTCATCATTATAAGCAGGGTGATGGAATAAAAGACCTTAAACGCAGGCAAGAGAATAGAAAATGCATGTCAATCCATCTCCCCTGTCTCTATCGCTTTCAACACCGGTTGAAAAAAGCAAATCTTTGCATCTTTACGTAAGGCAGGCAGTTCAAACATGAAATTTGATTAATAAATAGCATACCAAATGATTTTTTCCCCAAACTTTTTGCCATAGCTTTGTTATTTTTTGACCAATTTAAAATCCTATTGCACCGTTCTTTTCAGCGTAAAAATACCTTTAAAATGATGTGTCAGGATGTACAGGGTCCTATTTGAAATTTTGAATTTTAACTGCGCCTCAGGTACCCTGTATAGTTTTTCTCCAAACTAGTTAAAATTTGAAACTAGACTAAAAATATTAAAAATGTATTTTTTGTGTTATTGGTAGCGACATTGGTTCAAAAGAAATTCAGCCAGGACATATAAAAAAGACACCCTGTATTTTGTGCCTGACCAACGATATTAGAGATGGTTTGCTGTTCAGTAAATACTATTGATTGTTTTTAATTTATGTAATTAAAATTGATTTTTTATACATCAATATAATTTTAAGAGCACATAATTCTTACGAAGGACGAAAAACTCAAAAAACCGTTTTTATTAGCTTTTAATCGACATCTTCCTAGCCAATCCTGTTCCATTTTGAAACTTCTAATTTCAGACTTTTTTCTATTTTAATTAAATTTTGTACAAATTAAGAAGAGTTCCCATGACAACTGATTTTGGCAAATCGACGAATTATATTGTGACTTATAAATTTATCATTTTTAACCGGGCAAAAGACTTGTGACTTTGCCGCTTTTTGACAATTTAAAATCCGATATCAGCGTCTGGAAGGAAGATAGTTTCGCTCTCCCTGCTTACATACATGAACCACCGCTGAAGTGAAAAGCAGACTTCTATAAATGTATCACTTGTAAACGGGAATTCGTAAAGAAGGCTTGTGATTGCAAGGAGTCTTGTCTTGCCTCACCCTGCTTATAACCCTGTCCCACCACTGAAGGAGGCGAAAAGCGAGCTCTACTAATCGCTTTTAAACGGGAAATCCTAAAAAACGTTGTGAAGTTGTCATTTTTTGACCGATTTAAAATCAAATTGCACCCTTGTTTTCAGTGAAAAAAATCTTTTAAAATCACGTGTCAGGATGTGCAGGGTCGTATTTGAAATTTTGAGGTTGAACTGGGCCCGAGGTATCCTGTGTAATTTTTCTCCAAAAAAAGGTAAAAATTTGCAACTAGACTAGAAAATATTGAACTTTTTTTGTAGCCATTGGTTGAAGAGAAATTCTGGTGGGCCATGTAAAAAGGACACCCTGTATATTGGACATGTGGAGGCCGCGTCCTGACCATTGTTCTGGGCGTCGCGTCGTCGGCGGAATGAAAAGCGGAGGAGGAGCAGGGCGGGCGGTCCAGGTGACCAATGGACAGCCGAGACTGGAAAGGGCGAGCCAATCGCGGCCGGGGCGTCGTCCCGTCTTCCAGACCCCCTCCTCGCCAATGAAACGACCTGTCGCATCGCCGGCCGGCCGACCACCCTCCGCGCGCCCTCGCCCGTCCAAAACGTTCCCTGGAAATGGATACGAAAATCCTGGAGCCTTGGCGAGGAGGGAGGAGAGATTTCCTTTCGCATCTCCCCTCCAGCTCCTGGAGGGGGTCCCAGGCTTAGAAAGAGATAGAAGTATAGAGTGAGAGCAGCGATCAACATGCCCCCACGAAGGGGATGTCGCTACGTCTACTATGTATCTACTAGTCCTACTAATGACAACCAACTTTTTTACGTAAGTAAACACAGAATATATTTCCGCCTCTATCCTTACATATTATTATCCTACCATATTACTGACGTGGGAAAAAAGTGAAGTGCAAGTGAAGAAAAAAAAGTGCTGTGAAAGTGAAATATTTTAGCCACGCAGGAAATGAAACTTCTCTAAATGGACTCGAATCGAGACTTTCGCCAATGATGTTGTGTGAACCAGTTTTCTTTATGAATCGGTCAATACGCCCATGTGAGTTGGACAGGAGCATACAATTTCACGAAAAAATGCTCGTATTGACGCTAAAACCGTACGGAATTTCGAAATAAGTTGTCTTTGATAAAAAGAAATAAAACAGCTACGAACACAACGTAGAAAACATAAAAATTCTCGAGGATATCCTTTTTGAACTCTCCTCTCTCTCTCTCTCTCTCTCTCTCTCTCTCTCTCTCTCTCTCTCTCTCTGTCTCACTCTCTCTAATATCTTCCAATCGATCTATCTATTAATCTACATCTCAATATATCTATCTATATAGCTAAATCAATCTATCTACATCTCTTCCTCACTCTCTATTTATTTTGTTTGCATTTATCTATCGAACTATCAATCTATTTCAACGTATCGCTGTACCATACTTCTCTCTCACTCTCTTTCTCACGCTCTCTCTCCTTCTCTGTGTTTATCTCCCTCACTCACTCACACACACACACACACTCCCTCCCTCCCTCCCACCCTCTCTCTCTCTCTCTCTCTCTCTCTCTCTCTCTCTCTCTCTATGTAATCTATCTTTTTGTCTTTATCTTTCTTTTTCACTCTCAATCCCTTTCTTTTCTCTCTCTCATTTTAATCTCTCGCCCCCTTCTCTTTTTTTGTCTTTCTTACTCCTTTCTTTTATATTTTTCTTTCTCCCTCTCCCTCTCGACTTCTCTCACCCCTCTCTCATGATATATCGTTATGTGACTATTTATGTAGCTTATGAAATTAACACTTACTTCGTAAACATTTATATCGAACTAAAATGCTATCTATATCTATCCTACTATGTATCCATCGATGTTTATATATTTCTCTTTCCCTCTGTTTCTCTCGCTTTCTTACTCCCTCTCTCTCTATCTCTCCCTCACTAATTTACTAACTCACACACACACTAATTCTCTCTCTTTCTTTCTCCCTTCCTCTCACTCTCACTCTCACTTTTATATCTGGCTCCGTCCTACCCTCTTTTCTATCTTTCGTACTCCTTTCTTTTATATTTTTCTTTCTCCCTCTCCACCTCTCTCACCCTTTCTCATGATATATCGTTATGTGACAATTTATGTAGCTTTGAAGTGAACACTCGTAAATATTTCTATCGAATAAAAATGTCAACGAACTCAATACTTAAATTCACTAATTTCGTGGTCCGCTCGACCAATTAATACATTACAATTAATTAAGGTTTTTAGTTGATAAAAAAGTCAATGGCACGAGCCGGATTCGAACCCACGATCTTCGGCTTGATACGCCGCTGCTCTACTACTTGAGCTATCGAACTCAATACTATTTATTTTTTGTTCTTAGAGAAATTTTTAGAGTGATTTATTGCAAGTTATGAGATTTATGATGTACGCGGAGTTCAGGTCACCTTCAGTTTCGTTTTTTCCGTCTATTCTCGCTGTTTTTGGCCTTAAATCAGCGTTTCAGCATTTCGCCATCTTGGGTGGTTATTTTTGTTTAGAGGCACGTTAAAAACCCGACTGTCGGGCCGGAACAAGATGATTTCCCACACTGCAAATTTTAAGGGCCTGCCCAAATCGGTTGGGTATTGGGATAAGTAGTTTAGGCAATCTTGGTCTGCTTTCCTCGCTCTTTTCGTCTGCAAAACGTGTTAAAAGAAATTTGCACTAGAAAAAAATGGAGAAATATCAATAAACGTTTATCGACTAACAGAGCGAAGCTAGGCGGACCAGTATGATTGAAAACTACCAAGCAATATATCGTAAAACTAACCATTTTCGGTTTACATCATTATTTGCATGCTTACCATCTTAGTGTGTTACAGTTGACTATAAAAACGCCTTACTGACTCTCTCAAGGTGTACTGAACTTCATTGGACCAACAAAATTATTTTTTTTAATGAACATGAATATAATATTATATGTGTGGTGATTAGTGACCGTTAATCGATATTTATTTAGAAATCGTGAGATGCGGTCTGGTGTGATGTAGGTATCAGAAAAATATTTACTTTATCGTGCCAACGTTTCGAACTTTATTGAGATCATCTTCAGGGTCTGGGATTTACAAACATTGTTTACATATAACAATAATCCATAATCCAAAATGTAATTGTTATATGTAAATAATGTTTGTAAATCCCAGGCCCTGAAGATGATCTCAATAAAGATCGAAACGTTGGCACGATAAAGAAAATGTTTTTCTGAAACCTACATCGCACCAGACCGCATCTCACGATTTCTAAATAAATAATATTATATTGTCATAGTTTTTCCTTACGATCATATCAATTTACAAATGTTTAAGTTATTTTGTCGTACAAAATTTAAAGATTTAAGTTAACAAACGCTAAGGTTGACATGTTACTGGGTTAAACACTTTACTACAAATGCATTGTTTTTGGACATTAAGCCAGATTTTTTCCATAATCGTTAAAACTATTAATTTAATGACCTTTTATCCCACTTCTTCATGAAACTATTAAAGAACCATAGATCTTTTATTTAAATTATTTTCGAAATTCTTTGCTATAATTTTGCAAATGGCATCTTGATCGCTCCCATAATACACACGTAATTTAAAGAAGACAACAAAGCAGTGCCGTTTATGTTTATGGCTCATGATTCACAAATCTCGCAAAATTTGCCCGCCCACGTTCAAAGTTATTGTCTTGAGCTAAAAACAATAATGACGTGGCCTGATGTCATCGTTATTCAAGTCGTGCTTCACTCGAAACGCGCCTCTTGAGGGAACTCGCGGTCGAGGACGTAAAAGATCAAAAAAATTAGAATTCCAGTTTTTAATCGATATGGGAGAGTGCGATTAGGATAAGACCCGTCGTAAATTAAGTAGGCCGGATGACGCCTTCTCCATCCTTCTTAGCATAACCGTGAAATGACTAAATTAAAAGCGTAGGCGATCAATCTGCTCCTGGAAGTTAGTTTGTAATGGACTAGTAATTGGGAATAATTAAATTATATAACTGATCGACTATTTACAACTCTTTGGTGTTACATTTTCTGCTTCTTTTACATGATGGCAACTAAAGATTTCCCTCGCCCTTTTTTAAAACTGATGCTATTTGTTTACCTTCCACTTTTGTCAAATTATAACGCACATTTACGACCGTCATCCCTGATCACGGAAGAACAACCGGCCGTATCATCTATATATCAGGTGTCATTCGAAAGGTTGTGTGATATGTGGTGAGACATGAGCAGGGGATTTGTTCCCATGGCCGATCTGACAGGCTAATGGCAGGAGGGAGTAGCCTGCATCGGCTGCTAATGGTTTCTTACATCCTTCAATTAAATATCAAAAGAAAGTGGGCGTAAAAATGAAAATGTATCAAAATTCCCGAGGTTTGCCTCAAACCTGACGCTTTTTTCAATATTACATTATTTAGACCTTTTTGGATGAAAGCTATCAACGAGTTCTGGGAAGATATATATATTTAGGAATATTCACAATTTTATACTATACACTGTACTTGGATAAAAGTCATTGTCTTGTCTCTCCCTGCTTAAAATCCTTACTAACCGCTAAAGTTGGCCAAAGACCGAAGTTGCATTTGATGGACTGAAGACAACGTAAACGTACTTGGTTAGAACTTTGACTAGATTTTTGCTAGCTTGACCATTTAGATGTTTTCTGTTTGTGACGGTCTTGCCTCTCCCTGCTTATAACCCTGGCCAAACCGATGAAGATTTGACAGAAGAAAAAGAGCGATTTTTTTAACAGAATCAAATAAGGTGTTCCAATTCTGCATATATCGATTACTGAAGTTTCATTAGAAGCCCTGCATCTGGAATGTTCTAATTTTTGGAATCCGTAAACACATGTCCTTGGTTGCTACTAGTTGTTTGCTACCTGACTGAAAAAAAGTGGACAAAGAAAAACAAAAAAGTTTTGACAAATTGCATGTTTTGCCACTCCCTGCTTATAACACTGACAAAACCGTAAGTTGTCGAAATGGCAAACGCGTCTTACGGGCGGAAACAGCGAATTTCTCAACTATTTTTCTCTGCATAACGTAACGTGTTCACTTTCAGTATAATTATGTTGATTACCACCGTTTTATTGTGAGTCCTGCGTCTTGAATTACTTAATTTTTAGATATCCTAAGTACGTCAAACACGTTGGTTGCTATTAGTTATTTGCTACCTGACCCTGAAAAATAATGATCATCAGAAACGAGTCTGACAGACGAAAAGAACAATTAACTCAGCTATTTCTTAATTTTATTTATTTATTGCATCAAATAATATGTTCTAATCCTAGGTCGATGACGGAAGTTTCATTATAAATCCTGCATCTGAAATAACTTAATTTTTTGAATTCACAAGCAAATAAATGTACTTTTTGATACTAGCTGTTTGGTCTCATGATAGAAATGAGGCAAGGAAAAACTAAAAAACAAAAATTGACCATTAGAATGTTTTCGCCTGATAGTTGTTATCTTGCCTCTCCCTGCTTATAATCCTATCCAAACCGTTGAAAATGTCGAAATACCGAAATGTGCCTGACAGACGAAAAGAGCGACTGCCACTACAATTTTCCACAGCGAGAAATAAAGTGTATCTAATTCTTCATCTGTCAAAGTTTCAAGTTTTTATGCTTCACGAATTACCCACGTTTAGGAGACCTTAAGCATGTAAAAAGTCTTTATTGCTACAAGTTGTTGCCAAATAACATTTGACGAAGTATGATTAGCAGAACTTAAAACTTAAGTTTGAAGTTTTCTCCTAGACTGACTTTGTTGTTGTTTTGCCTCTCCCTGCTTATAACCCTAACGTAATATAGCGA